CTGCGTCCTCGCAAAATTGGCGTTTTCATTGGACTTGAATGGTTCTCGCGCTTAATGACCTGTTTTGTCGAGAACACGGACGCTGTATAAACGACTGATTCGATCGTCTTTGGTCATATTGTAGGGACGCCTTGCCTGCCAGAGAAGCTGGCCTGGTTTGCCGACCCACCTAGCCGAAGGGTCTTTTCCACTGGCCGTCCGAGCTCAGCGACGGGCGGTGCCGGTAAACAGCTTTCACAATCCACAAGCACCCCGGTTCAAACATCATCGTCCACCCCCGCCTCTACCGCCATCACCGCCCCAAATAACACGCCTCACAAGACGCCCGTCTTCGTGGCCCGCAAAACAGCCTCCATCGTCTCTCACCCTCTTAACAGCGCTGCTGTTACTGCCTCTCTCGCCTTCTGCGAGACTGCGATCCAGCCTTCTTCAGGACCATCTGTAGGTTTCAGTGGGGTCACTGCGTCCTTTATCCCAGCTCTTATGGTCGTTTCGAAGAGGTTATGGACTTGATAGTACTTTTTAGAATTCAGTAGACTGTTGCCACCTTCGGGAGTTTTCATATCTGTTTTGCTGACCTTGCTTAGGGCACCACTTTGTCAATCCGGGTTAAGTTTCCATCAAATTTACCATCATGATAGCTCTGGTCATTGGTTCTTGTCCACCTTGGTTAACTTCATCGTCGCAACTGAAGCCTAATTGACTGTTTCGGGAATTGCTTGTACGACATCTATTTGCCGCAGCAGTGGTCATTGTTTTGCCCTGATGTTAGCGATTGCAAGAGTTAGATTTCCGACATTAAATGGAAATGTAAAGTTGTGTCGAAAGGGACTTAGTCGTGGAATTGTCACCCTAAGCCTAATCCCTATTAGAACTCCAATAGCTGTTTTGAAGATGCGTCCCTTGTTGCATTCAGAAACGTCTACTTTCGTGGATCGGCTTCAATTTTATTGTAGCCACTTTACCGAATGTATTGTTAATGTGACGTTAAAATCGTTTGTTTGTTAGTGTTAGGTGGAGTCGCCCATTCGTACTACCTTTTCAAGGAATATACCTCTGCGGCGACGGTGGTTGTAAATTTTGTGCACATTAGTTGGCTTTGGGGTTGACAGGAGGATGGACGACCACCTTGAAAAGACTGGATCATGTATTTAACTCTGCTCACCCACTAGTAGCTCTTAGGCAGTCGATGAGAAAAGACTCCGTTGTCCGTTCCGTTCTGACCTGCGGGACTTTGTTGTTGCAGCTCTTGTCGTCGCCTTCGTGTGAGTTCATGAATATCTAGCTCTTTCATTGTTGCCACTGTAGTCGGGCTGACTTCATTGAATCTCGCTGGTCCTTATTGACTAGTTGCTGTTCCCTGATGTGTTTAGTGTTGACATTCAACCTGTACACCGTCGTAATCTTTTTCGATATATTTACTACCGCGATTAACGGCAACCTCAGCGTTATTGCCGTCCATTCCAGTTCACTTCATTCTGGAAAATCCACCTTCGTTATCCTGGTCGTCAACCTCTAGAGTGTTTGTAACGTTTTTTTTTTTCAGGATGCAGAGTTGCCATCAAGTTGATTGGCTATGTCAACGGGGTAAGTGGTCTTTTCGAGCTTAATTTTCATCAAATTCATCGCTGCGGCTTGGGCTACAGGTTTGCATTCACTTTAATTAGCGTCAGAGTTGATGTGAGGGTGAGCGACCGTTTCAAAGACACTGCGTCGTCTATTTCATTCTTTCTGCGATTTCTACTTCCATGGCCTCTCTCGTTGTGGTTTATCTAAAGTAGGATTTCGTTGTTTATTCCGCTCTGGGAAATCAGCTTCTGTAGATCCTCTAGACCTTTCCCGTCTTCGGGTGTGTACGTCTGGGTAAATCCGACGTATTAAACTGGTATTTGTCTCCCAATGCATCCATTTTATTTGGGAAGGTACATCTGCTTCCAAAACCATGGCCTCCAGTTCATCCGCTTTATCCATCTTTGACTATGTTGGGGTATTCTTCATAGCTTTGCCAGTTTCCATGTAAAATTCGCCAGAATTTAGCTTTTCAAACCACTCTCTCTCTCTCATTCGCTGATGTACGCTGACTATCTGTTTTGAGTTTAACACTGTAACTCACACTTACTGTCCATGTGAATGAATTTCCCGTCGACTCCACCCTTATGAGCCGATTTCGCTGCGACTCGGTCGTTCAGTCGTGTTAACTTCTTGCAACGTGTGCAACCTTTGAGCCTATAGACCACTTTTGAGTCATTCCTATCGACATATAAACCTTTCTCGTCTTCAACATTCATGATGAAATGTTTTGCTGTGCCTGAAAATCTCTTTCTGTATCATCATCTATGAGTCTTAAGGCGCTTTCTTCTTTGCTAGTGAAGTATGGTTAGGTTCTTCGATGGTGCTTCATCGTCATCTCCAATTTCCATTTTGGTGACTTCAACGTCCTTATTGGAAGAGCCATTTTTTATCCAATTACCGCCATTTATTCCTTTTTCAGAGTGCGAAAAGCGACAATAATAACAAGAAGAAGAAGCAATCAGAGTTGACATTGTCGACCTCTTCATCATTCTCTTCACCGTCATCACCTGTTCCCGAAGTCGCGGGGCGGAGGGAGCAGTTGGGTAATATTTCACCTATTCTCACTCAACGCTGATGGTAGGATGTTATTACTAGCGGTTGGGACGCCAAAATCGTGAGACTTTCGCTTCAATGCGGACGTTGTTGCTCTTCATGTCTCACCTTATTTGTTTTGCGACTATGAGCAGAATGATGTCAATTAATTAGTCTTGCGTCCCCCTACTCTTCGTTCGCTAATTCCCAATTCTCCTTTTTATTGACGTCACCATGCTCTTTAATGCGTGTAATTCTCAGCAGTTCTGCCATTATTACTTGTTTATTCCCATTCCCTCACCGTAACTTTCTGGCATTTCTTTGCGACCCTGTGAAGTGTTTTTCGTATTTTAGCTGAAAAAGGATCTTCGACCACACCCATTGTTGTTATCAACAAAAAAGAAGAGGTGGTGAAAGTAGTTAGTTCTTTATTTTTAAATTTACTCTTTCCCACCACCACCCACCTCAATGTTCTTTTTATGTAATCTCGTAGAAACTCGGAGCAAGAACTAAGTTTAGCAGAGGGTCGCATTCCGGCGTTAAAAAATCCGGCCGCTTGGCAAATTCTGGCAACACATTGTGCCGGTCTCTCTTTTCATCTCTTCGTTCTGGTCTGCGATCACAAGTGATGCGTAGGACAAGACGACAGCAACGGCTCCGTAGCCAGTAGTATGGCTATTACCTTTCTCCTCCTCCCTCTGCTTTCTGGTTTGTGATAACATCTGTTAACTGTTTTCTCTCCGCATTTCCATCTATTTATTGTTAACCATCGTTATTTTTGATGAATTGATGGGCTAAGCTGAGGTTCATGTTTTCATTTTCCGATTTTGTGCCCGGAACTTGGGGAATGGAATGGTGGTGAGGATTTGTGGAAATGACAACTGATTGTAAGCTGGAGCTGAGGCCCTTAAAAGCGAGCAGGAGAGCTCTGGCATGCTAATCTGTTGTGGGGTTTTCATGATTATCTTTCGAATGTCAAAAGTCGGACTAAACATCAATAAGTCAGGCGAAACCTTGGCAACGTAGGCCTAGGGTAGTGTTCACACCTATTGGGATGTTGATTAGCTCTGCTATATTCAAAGTTCAATGTGTATTGTGCTTGAATACGGACTGACAGTATTTTTCTCTCAGTAAACCCAGTTTGCAATTGCCAATATCTTTTTAATGTTATTGGTGCAATTTTCTAGGTCATTGCGCGTATTGTCTCCTCTCTGTAAGCGGCTTTTCGTATTTTCCGTTGGGAGGGTTTATTTGAGTTGCTGGGTCAGAAGAGCCTACTCGGGGTCCAGCTACTCTCGCTGGCAGAAAAATAAAATGTACAAAACGACTGTAAAAATCCCCACTGACTTTGTGAACATTGATGAATTGTGCAATTATATTGAACAAGTTTATGATGTTAGGATTATGGCACATCCGGGTTTCACCAAAGAAATGGTAATCAGGACCAATTTAGCATCAGAATTGGAAGGCGCACAAAATCTTGCCCTCCTCTTTATTGGTCCTGAATCAAAGTTCGAATTCGAATTGCCTGTGAAAATCCTAAAACTTTTTACTATTCCTACTATCCAACGTTACCTTGCGAGGAGCTACAAGCTGATAGTCACTGATATCGGTTGTACTCATTTGCTTTTTCGTGGCTCCGAGGTAGCCGTATCACTTATCTCGAAAGCTTTACTAAAAATCCAGCTCTCAAAACCCTACTCCCATTCCTTAGTGGATGAAAATTTGATTAGGTTATGCTGTTTGCACGACATAGACGTCAAGCAGCTAAGCGATGTGAGTGAAGAACTTCGCTCCGTGCTCTACGATTTTATTGTGGAACTTGAAAGCCTTATGAACGCTCAGTGTTCTGCGACACAGGACTCAAATGGGCTCGATGAACCTGGGTTCGTTGAGGTATTCAGGCTGAATAAATGTAAGTTACCATCCTGGTGAAACGTTGCCATGTTTTACCTTTGGTTTGTCCTCAGCTTACATTTTCTGCCTCCTCAGCTTTGCAAAATCAGGTGCCGCAAATCCTGAAAACTTCTCCATTAAATGCTTCTGCCGGTAAGTAGTCCTTGCGTCCATTCAACGCTTTCATCCTCCGCATAGCTTCCGCTAGCTATTAGCCTTTCTTCCATGTACTGTCGCTATGTCAAGCGACTGGGTTAACATCACATGAGCAACCCTCTTTCGCCTAATTTAAAAATGCTCCCCACTCACAAATGAACTACTTAAGCTAACCAACTGTGGTGTAATGCATAATGGATGTTTAGCTGTACCCTCTGATGGCACTGATGCTACTAATGGGAAGACATCAAAACTCCGAGGAGACAGTTTAGCTAGGAGCAAAACGCGAAATCAAAAAAAGCAGCAAAAGAAGGAACAAGCATTGATAGGGCGAGACATTGGCAAGAGGTTCGCAGATCTGGCTGGGGTTTCTCTTCCGCCCTCATCAGGATCTCGGAAAGGCAAGTTTTTGACTGAGTTTGAAGCCCTCTGTCTCGTTTTGTTTGTTTAAAAAGCGAAAAAGTTGTTTAGAACTGGGTCCCATGCGTATGCGAGAGAAATCGTTATCAGCGGTTGTCACTCCAGCTTAAGCAGGCAATAGTAGTGACTGCAGCGACAAGTTTCAATAATGTCGCTGAGGCTGGTGCTGAGCTTTCACATCCATAATGGAATTTTACAAACGTTGATTTATTCGCACTGCGCTGTGTGCGCACATTCGCGTATTATAAGTACTAATTTTTTCTTCTTCAGCTACCAAATCCGCTTCACGACCACGAACGCGCAACCGTGCTCAAAGCTGTGATCAACGTGGCGTACCACTTAGAGGTTAGCTTGATATGGATTACCATCCTCTGCCTTACACTTTTTATGTGGTATGCAATAATCCATTTACAGGCTGACTAATGGCTTTATGCGCCATTGTTTAAAAATGGAGTTTTACACTATTGAATCTGTTTTGCAACAATGTCCACTATATAATTTTGGAATTTTCAGAACGGAAGAATACTTGTGGATTTCCTCTTTCACCCTTTTTAAACTCATTTGTAGGATGGAAATGAAGCTTAATAGGCAAGATTGACTATAAGGGTTGTTACAAAATCCTAAGGCTGCATTTATTAAGCCAGTTAGTTTTATTTAGAACTGTGGGTAAAATTTTTTTCTTAGTGCAAGGTGAACGTGTTTAAGTTCGGGGCTTTCAAAGCTCTAGCAAGATAAATAAATGCAAATGTTATCTGCAATGAAATATTCTCTTCATGTTGGTTCTCTACCAGGAATTTCTCTCTCTCTTTCAAATGGTTGAAAACCCCACTGTGAATTAATTTAGCAAAGTTGTTAAATTGGCAACATTGTCAATCATTCTCAATAGCAAAATTTGGCTCTTAAAATCCCATTTCATTATTGACTCCATCAAAGGTGGATCTGACGTTAAGGGAATGTCAGGCAGTTGGGTGATCTTTAAATGCTTGTGGACATTTTGAACAGGTTGGAGATATAATCAATCTGTGTAGTTCAGTAAACACGCCGTCTGAAGGAGTTTCAAAGTTCAGCTTCTGCTATGTATTGCTTAAGCGCTATCATTACTTATTTGCCGTTTGGATGAATTGCACTGGCTCCCCTCGAGCTCCTTGCAAGCTTCTCTCATCGTCCGCCTGTTATTAGCGTTTGGCTGGTTTGCACTCGACGCTTGGTTACCAAACGACCACCATTAGCTTCTCGGTTTCCGGAGGGCTGCGCTTCCGCGGAGTCATTCGACACCCCACCACTTAATTAGCTTATCCGCAAGGTTCTCCCTTGTTTCGTAATAGAGAACAGGGTTTGGCTTGGTAAACGCCATCATTCCTGTTTTTTTTTTGAATCCTCCCATCAATTCTGAAAGCTTTATTACTCTTCTATTGGTTCCCTCCATTTGTAGCTTTAAATAAGCTCACTTAGTTTCCACTAAAGCTTCTTTTACCTCATAAACCTGTTTCGCTGATTGTTAGTCAATAATTTTGAGAATGAATTATCCCACCGCTGCTGCGCAATCTTGCTTGTTTTTGTTAAACATCCTTTTTTACCTCGCCACAGTTCTCGAAACAGAGGTCAGACGTCTTCGTCCCATCGTGATAGACGGCGCCAACGTCGCTCACGGCGAGTCTTCTAAGTAAGTTCTTGTCCCTGCCTGTGCGTGAGACTGCTACATTGACGAACTCAAACTCATGTCGCATTTCACCTAGTTCCACTTTTAATGTATCCAACTTGCGCTGCGTTATCGACTACTTTGTGCAACGCGGTCATGAGGAGATAGCGGTGGTGCTGCCCAGCGATGGACGGGCGTCCTGTGCCGCGGTCTTTTCGCCCACGGAGATTGCTAAATACTTCGTCTTCACGCCTGTCCGACGCCTTGATCGAGGCGTCCGACCCCAAAGGACTGATGACGACAGGTAAAGAGGGAGGGACAGAGTCCCACTTGTCTCATTTTGCCACGCATTGCTTGCATCCTGCCGAAAAGTTTGCGCTCTCCCTAGATGTTTTGTACTTTGTTGCACTTTTACCTCATTATTGCATTTTGAGGCCTGACATCCCCTATCCTCGCATGACATTACAGATCCTTATTTTAGTAACTTAGTATTTACCTTCCACTGTTCTGTATGAACGAGCTGGCTTGGTGACTGGAATCCCCTATTTTCGTACTTCACTTGCTACCAATCTTCATCACTGCATGACTCGGATTACTCTTCTCTAGCTTTGCTTTGTTAAAAAAACACTTTTCTCAGAGAAAAGCTGAATTCGTGTTTGCTCAATCAAAATACTAACAGCTTTGTCCTGAAGAAGAATGATTTTTTTACTACTCTCACGCCAACGTTTGCAAACTCTTTAGACGCAAAATCGGTCTAGAATGGCTATTACTTGCAGTCTACCTTTCCGCTTTATTATTCCACCATTTTAACTAAGCTTTGTGACTAGTCATCACTCATAAATCTCGCTTGGTCCACCCACATTCCAGTGTGATTCTGCAGTACGCCCAAGAAAAGGACGGCGTAGTGATCTCCAACGATCAGTATCGCGACTGGCTGAAGGCAAGGCCCGAATTCCGCGATCTCATCGAAAACCGGTAAGATGCTCGACTCTCCCTCCCAACCTCTATCCAATCAAAGGCAGTCTCTACCGTCATTTTTTTTGTTTTCAGCGTGATTCCCTACAGTCTTCGAATGGGCATTTTCATCATTTCTTTCTACCCCTTGGGCAAGCATAAGCCCTATCTTGACGAAATTCTCGCCTTCCCGGGATGATTCGTCACCGCCGCCACTCCTCTTTCGCACCAGATTTCGAGTCTACGGTCGATACAGTTTTTCAACTGTTATTTTCCTAATTTACCTCCCGCCTCCATTTCTCGCATATTTGTCTCCGAGAGGTTGTGGACGTCTTTATTTAAAATAAATATAATATATACAATTACACACAATGCCATTTATTTACCTATGAATAAAGCAAGGGGTGGACTGCATGCGTGTTTATGGGAAAATTAAAAAGCCTTTCGCGAGCGCTTGCTACCCGCGGTCGTTCGTGGTTGTGCTGGCCGTTTCGCACCAGTGGCAGGTTCAGCAAGGAAGGAGCAGAGAAGATCACGACTATCGGAGTCTGATTTTTGGAAAAGACGCATCAGAAGGCTAGGAGGAGGCGCTGGGGGTAGATAAACGTCTTCCTCCTCATCTGTCTCCTCTTCTCCGCTCGTAACCTCCAAAAAGGCCTCCACATTTGAAGCGGCAGTCTCTGTGGGTGTCAGAGAAGCAAGATTGGTTAGTGAGGAGACACCACCGGTGCAGCGTTGCGACTTGATGTTTTCCTTCTCACGAATTCGAAGCGCCTCTGGCAGATGGTCAGGATTCATTACACACTCCTTCTTATGACTGTCCAGCTGGCACAGTGGACCGATGTAGCTGCAACCTGAGGAACGCCACGGACAAGCCACCTGGATGAACAAATAGGTGATGCATTTTGGCTGGACTCTTACTTGTATCTCAGATACGAAATAAGCGCAGTTAAATCTTATCATCCCAACCCGCGGCCAACCCCATAGCCCACTCCTATTCACCTGCGAACCGCAGAATATTTCAAAGGCAGCACAGTCACTGAGATCCCCATGCAGTCGAGGCGGTTCGCAGATAAAATCTGCGTAAAATACAGGAGTTTCACAGCGTGAAAAACTCAGTAATCAAGGCCATATAACACACTGTTTACAACCCAATTGTCTCAAAAGATGAAATCATGAGGAGAAGGTCTTTTACGGTCCTTTAAACTCGGTCCATGACAAACGCAAAACTCATTACCGATGAATGGATGGCATCTAGAATAACTCAAGCTACAGAGGAAAACTTTTCAGGAAGGATCTGCAATACAAAGCTACACAAACTGATAATAAATTTTATGAGATGTACAGAAATATGTATTTTATTAAGTAAAGTTAGTGGAAGCAAAGACATATAGACATACCGTGTAGTCACCAATTATGCTTTCGAGTATAAAATCGTGGTGCATTTTAGACAGATTTAAAGGTTTCCGGTCAACTGGACAGTGCTTTGCAGTCTTCAGCCACTTTGAAATGCACTAAATACAAAAATTTAGTCCATAAGCGCCGTGCACAAATTGAAAGTAGCAATATATGAGACACATCAAAATACCAACCTTAAAACAAGTCGGCAAAGAGACAGAATAAGTAGCGTACCCCATAACAGTAGCTGTGACCACAGGGCGCCCGGTATGGTTTTTTGAAAACCTCGGAGCATATAACACAAATGAGGTGGGGGCTGATAGCGTTTGGACGAGCGAACGTGCGTTCCTCTTGCTCGGGTAAAAGTTCAACTTTAGAAACTTCAGACTGCTTCGCACAAACCTGAGGACTATGTGTATTCCTCGAGCGACCTGCACGCGCAGACGAACCACACCGACGAGCCATAAATAGTTTGAACGGGGTTGGCCACCCGGGTTAGTGCGACTGTTGGCTAAACAAAGAAAACTAAAACAACTGTACATTAAAATAGACAGTAAAATTGTACTTTAGAGTAACATTATAATATTTACCTAAGTTAGCAACTATAAAAAATGAGCTGGTACCGTGATTACCATTGCTTTATCATTATCAGTGCCTTTTTTGAAATGATACATGCAAATCCAATATTCAAGCAATTTTAGGCATCTTTTTTTAGCAAGTTTGTCTGCTTAAAAGTATTATTTTAAAAAATGGTCTTATTTTATTATTATTTCTAGTGAATTCAGTGTAGTATATCTGGCCTTCCTGAAAATCGCAGCAAGTTATTCGGTTTAGAAAGGCTAACATAAAATGGTCGTACTTACGCAACCAGTAATTTGATCGCTATGTGGAGCAAGACTCATCGGTCTCCGCTTCCCTGTTCCTAACATTCTTAGACAAGCCACGTTGATTCATTTTGGACATATTTATTAAAGATGTAAAGATGAAGAAGGAAAATACAGCGTTTAAGAAGGAGACGAACCGCGGTTACGGAAGAGGACGACCCGGTCACGAGATTCGAATTTCCTGCTTGCCTCCTCCCTAACAGGTACATTAAATCAACATAAGTATTACAGCTAATCTACCTTACCGTTTTGGTACATAGTCAATAAAGGGCTAGCCATCTCATTTCTATTGAATGCATAGCCTCCGACTTATGCTTGGGGACCCGCAGGTCATCAACGCAGCAGCTATATTTGACTGTCTTAGCTTTATGACTTCACTCAACTTAAAATGTGACTTGTGACGGTACTTTCAGCCAGTGGCTTCTAAAGAGCTGTCGTCACTAAAGCCTATTTTGGGCAAAACAGAATATGATTGTATTGGTACTTTATGCTTTCTAAAGGTAATTATATGCTTTGATATTTACAACACCGGAGGTTAAATACAATAGAGTTTATTTGTCCTCTTTATCTGTTGGTAGGTCCCACGCCATGCTAATGATATTGTAGCGTCCTAAGACTCCCTGAAGACGAAAGAAGACACAATATAGGGCAGAATATATATATTCAGCACGGAGAATGTGTCTGGGCTATTAGCATGGCCCAAAAGGCCAGCCCACCCAGCGAGGTTCAAGGGGGCTAATTCAAAGTGCAAAAGTGGCATCTCACCGGAACTGAGGGATTAACCACTATCTTATTACAATATTTATGAATCACCACGGACAATTTCAATAGAGCAGTTATTATAAAAATTAAAATTAAGTAGCAAATTTTATCGCCTTGCAATTTTTATTTAAGCAAAAAATTTTTGCCGCAATTTTGTAAAGAAAACTTTTTAAAATCAACCTTACATATCTCATACCTGTTTTGCACGAAATGGCTCTTGTTTAGCCTCTCCAGTTAATGCGTTCTTCCATCGCGCTTTTCTCGGAGTAGTTTCATTCATTTGAACATTTAGCGTTTGGTATGTCGACCAGGCCTCCGGCCAAAGCGGGTTACTGGTACTTCGGTGGTTTGGCTAGCGCTATGGCTGCCGCAGTCACTCATCCCCTGGATTTGTTAAAGGTCCACCTTCAGACCCAGCAAACTAAAGAGTTTGGTATGATCCGAATGGGGGTGCGAGTGTTTAAGAGTGACGGTATTCTGGGTCTCTACAATGGCCTTAGTGCTTCTCTTCTCCGACAGTTCACGTACTCCATGACACGTTTTGGTGTCTACGAGTCTTACAAGAACTCTGTCGGTCGGAAGATGTCTTTTGCCGAAAGTGGCGGCATTGCTATGTTCGCTGGTTTCGTTGGCGGTATTGTGGGTAACCCCGGCGATATGGTTAATGTCAGGTTCGTGTTTTGTACCTGTTTGACGTATATTTTTATCATTGGAAGAATCTGACCTTTACTCCACTGTCCTTTTCAGAATGCAAAATGATGTCAAGGTCCCCCCCGCCCAACGTAGAAAGTAGGTTTTTAAATTTCCCTTGTTCACTACATGACGAAGCGTTAATGCAGAACTCTCTTTATAGCTACAAACATGCTATCGATGGTCTTATCCGTGTGGCTCGTGAAGAGGGCATTACTGCTCTTTTCAATGGCGTTTCTATGACTGCAACTCGGGCCACATTCATGACTTTCGGGCAGTTAGCTTTCTACGATACTTTCAAGAGCATGCTTTTAGCTACTGGATTCTTCTCCGATAATCCGGTTACGCACTTTTCCGCCTCTATTGGTGCTGCTGGTGTCGCCACTTGCATGACTCAGCCGTTCGATGTCATGAAGACGCGTCTCATGAACGCCCCACCCGGCAAATACTCGGTAGGCTTGCTTGCATCTTTCCTTTTGGCATTTTAATCAAGCGTCTGATTTGTTGGTTGTTATCCCCTCATTTTCAGGGTCTGGCTGCCTGCGGCCTTGACGTGTTGCGCACGGGTCCGCTCGGCTTCTTCAAGGGTCTCGTTCCCGCTTTCATCCGTCTTGGTCCACAAACTGTTCTCACTTTTATTTTCTTGGAACAGTTGAAGGCTAATTTCGGATACATCCCCACTGACACCAAGCCCAAGGCGTAAAAGGCACATATCTCACGTCGCAGCTAGTCACCTATTAGTTTTCCCTCGATTGCGCGACGGCTACTGCACCAGCAGTATCCTATCCGTATTGCATTTGTTGGATGTGTACTTGCATAGGTTGCCCCAATTGTACTCTCTGTGGAACGAATAGATTGCTCTTTGTTACACATTTACCTCAGGGGAGAGGGGGATTTTCGCTATCTTTAGGTAAATTTAACCTGATTACTTCTAGTCATTATTCGGTTAGAACGGCAGACCTCTTGGCAAAGGGAAGTTTATTTAAACTACATAGTCTGAAGTAGGGTGGGCAGAGGGTTGTGCTGGCGCTCGTTGGTTCGCCATTCGGCAAGATCCAGGAATGGTCGTTGGCTTGAGGTCCAGTTTTGGGTTATTCCTGAGGGGTTTGTGCTTCCAGGAGATCGTCAATAGAGGCTCGCTCTCTGATATCTCGAACGAGGCAGCGCCTCAGGGCCTGCAAATTACCGGGATGAGTAAATGCGAGTAGATCTGGTCAGGTCATTACGCGGAGGGGGGGTTGTTCGAGAGGGGGTGTGTCGGCGCAGTATCAGAGCGCGCAGGGCACGGCGTTTATGCTTACCTCATTGAGCTTGGCGTTATCCACGCGAGGAAAATTGATGGAGACGGTGGGTGAGAGGATTGCACTCATGATGGCGGCCTGCTGAGTCCTGCCGAAGGGCGATCGACCATGTAGCATCTCATAGAGGATCACTCCCAGTGCCCACACATCCGTTTTGAGGCGAACCTGAAACGCCAATACAAGCCAACTTCACATTTTGGGTGAGGTAGACTGTGGGGCTACATAGGTGCCAATCATGTGCCCACACTATTTTTGTTATTGCACCTTCAGAAGCCCCATTCCAAAACACCCAAATGAAAGCGTGCTTATCATTTACGAGTGCGTGTAAAAGCGGATTCGGATGAACGAATCACCGATGTAAGCACTTTCAGATGTGCCGAAACGAAGGAGAGCGAAGTGACTACATGAAATTTCGCACCGTAGAAAAATCGCAGCCAATTTTATGAGGAACGAGTCCGACGAGTGCGAATTGAATGTCTGAGCTATCCAGAATTGATATTGCTAGGGGGAATAAGAAACGCTTGTTTCACTTACGAATATCTTGTGATATTAAAAATAGGCAGTTCATCTGACGTTTCAAAGGCTGGCATTGAGTACTAGGTCAGTAAACATGAAATACCTCATTCACCACGTTTGAGGATCGGCGGTTGAGAAGTAGCACAACAGGAACTAAACAAGCTGGAAGAGGAAGTGATTTAACGGAGCACTATTGTAGCCTGCATGAAACAGGTAATAACTGCGATATTGTCAATGTGCTGACAACCAGGCCTAAACAATCTCTCGCGCCGTATTGTCATGGTACCTTCAAAGCATTCCAACTCAGAAGCAACAGCAAAATTGCCCTTTATGATGAATGAATGAATGAAATGAATCGCACGACCTATGATGCCAAAATACACCACATACACGCAGATAAGGCGCAACCCTATGCGGAAAGGAGAAAAAAGCACAAATAAAAAAGACGGAAAGTATACTTGATAGAAAAAGCAACAGTAACGCACTCACACTAGCAGTGCTCTAATTTGAGGCACCGAGAAAAAATCAAGCAAGCCTCAAGTTATAGGCCAGTCAACGCACATTCGCATTCTGTGGAAGAAGTAAAAACACTTAAGAAGTGAGCTTGGGTGGAGATGACAAATTATAGGCAAGGAGACCTCAATTTCCTATGATTATAACATGCCCAACTATGCGTGCTATTCCTCAGACGATCCTACTATTTGCATAGCGCCTTAATTTTCACCGTCACACGTATGTGACGCGTATCCCTTGCCAGTTTACGATAACTGCTTGCACCAAATAGGGTTGCAAACAGATTATTTGAGTGTTAAACAATAAAGTAGGTGAGAATCGTTGGATTTCATGCAAAAAATGTACTTGTCGATTCGATAATATAAGTGTCAATGTTGCGATAGAACAACAATAAAACAGCGGCATACCTTTATCTACCTTCTTGCTAACGATGACTTTAACCAAGGATGCTCCCAGCAATTAAACTTTACTTCTCAAACCTCAGAGGCATTGTATGACACCCAAACCCAAGTACTTTAACGATCGTAATAAACAATGACAGCAAGAGAAGAAATTCGCTAACAATTTCAAGGAAGAAGGTAGATTTCAAGATATGCCTTTTTTCTTGAATGCCCGTCAGCAGCTCAGGTAAGAGCTGGTAAAATACAATTTTCCCTTCACCTTATTATCGATGTAGACAAAAAATGCACCGGATAGCCATTCACTTGCTTACAAACTGTCAGCAATTCAAGTCATGATATCCACCCGACACCGTACAATGAGGGCCGGTACCCAATCCATCCACTGTCAGCAGCCAATGTCAATTTTTAACACTCACTCCTCTCTCATTACCATCAAACTCTCTCCTCACACACAGACACACACACACGTAGATACACAATCAAGTAAACCTCCACGTTAAAGACGCTGAAATCACGATTTCCTAGGAGCGTTACCGCAGCGTAAACAAGCGTCTGAAATGGAGGTGGCCTATGGCCCTCCAGCCACTGAAGTAGTTTCATTTCACATTATTTAACAGATGATCAGAAGAGCAGTTTTAGGTTTTCAAATCAAAGGTATCATCAGTCACTGCCAAACATTGGAAAGGTCGAAGCTAAAAGAAAGAGGGAGCCCATCCAACAGATTTTCGGAGTGAAATGAGACTATGCTACGATTGATTAAATCGTGCAATAGTAGCCCCAACATCTCCCATCGCTTCCAAGTGCATAACCGACTCCTAAAGGCATAGGTTTTAATGTTCCAAAAGATGGATTAAACTAACGAACCAGCAGTGACTTGGTTCCAAAGCTAATCCATGTTGGCCTCTACGATGAGGCGGTAGCATGGGTCACGTTTCTCAGGCCGCGCGGCACCCAATGTCCAGACCATGTGTTCGTGTGACTGGACGCGTATGTGCCTGCGTGCTCCCCTAATCGGCATAACACTTCGCCCTTTTCCAATTCACCCTTTACCGAAAATGGACGGTAAACTAAGTGGAATCAAACCATTCCACCAATACCAATCAAGCTATCCCCACCCAGGTAGTAGTTGGTAATCCTGCTTAATCAACAGAGGAAAAGTGGTGAATGGACTATTTGGATACAAAAATGACCAGCTTATATAGCAATCTGCGTAGGTGGAGGGCGCTACAATAAAACCTCAAACATCTGTTGCACTAGAAAAGTCAATTAGTGCTGCAGGGATTGATAAGTGGCTAGAGTTAAAAAAGAGTTGAGAAGTACCACTGACAGTGTGAAACACGCCCGAGCAAGAACATATGAGGTAAGGCGGTCAAACGCAAAGGTATAACACGATTGAGAAACCATATGCAAGTAGACTCAACGCATGAAGGGATATGCAGTTGTCTACTAAGTGCAATTCTTATCAAAGTTAAAAACGGTTGACAAGTTTTCAACTTAAAATGTGAAATGTAGCAACGGCAAACTGCAGAAAATTCTAATAAGATATTTGGGGAATTCGGGAGAAAACAAATGAGGAATGCATACAACTTTGGGGTTAGATATGTGAACCGGTATTGAACACAACCAAAAAATTAAGGCAATAGACTACAAGGATAAAAATGTACTTATTTGATTGATGAAATGAGTTCAACAATGCCCAAACACAAATACCATCAGAATCGAAATGGAGAAGCGATTACGGTGTCATGATTGCAGCCACCCAGGGGACTAGCCATGGCTGATAAGCCCGATGTAGGTTTGGCAGGTGGATGGATACCTCAATGGGATGCTAGTCAATGTCCACAAAATATTTTATCCCCTTAATTGCCGTGCTTCTGATTCGCTGGTTCATTAAGACGATTCGGTAGTACCACCTTTTCCAGTACACATTTCGATTATGAAGTAACTGATAAGACATGAAAGTAGCATCAGTTATAAATGTAAGCCCTGCTATTAAACAAGTCCAGCAATGTAGGGAGTTGGGTATACCAACGCGGAGGCTAATGGACACAGATGGGAGACGTTCTGCCACGGCAGAAAACTTTGAGCCTGGAAAGGCGTAAGTCATGTGGATGATCGGAGATGAGGTTAGAGAGGGCAAGATGATTGCAATGAAGGTGGCTGTAGCGTAGGAGACGCATAAATCAGCACCAAGGTGTTACGTGAATTAGAACTAATCAACTCGATAAGGAAACCTGCGAGCTAGACTCCGCTAGGCAAATCAAATAAGCGGAGGTCAAATGGAGCACGGACGTATAGATTAGGAACGGAGAGATGAGTAAATGGACGGAGGGATGAACTCAAGATTGACGACCAAACCAAGGACTGACGTGTGGGTTGATGTGCCAAGGGTAGTTTGGTTACGGACGGATAAATGAAAAAGGGATGAACGAGTAAGTGGGCGGGTGAGCAATAAAAAATTAGAAATAGGCGACGGATGGATGGTTGAGTGAACGGATTAAATATTGATGGATGATTTGATAATAAATTAATAAGGAGATTGACTTCATCAGATCATAAATAATCGACAAATCTACCCTTTTTCTTTTTTTGATGTCATACCATAAAAGTACAAGTTCTATCAAACGAAAATAACATTAAATAAAACTTCTATAGAAGAGAAACAGTCACAGAGTAATCAACATCTCGGTTAGAATGATCGCCTAACAAGCTCCAATAGATCAACAATTATGGAGGTGGGTGGATTAATAAATGGTCAGTGGATGGACAGGGGAGATAAGCGAATGGATCCGAGGTAAAGTGATGGATGGATGCGTGATGAATAATCTCCCTCGTTCCATAGCCCTAGGACATATAGGCTAAACCACTTGCCACGTCTGCAGCACAAAACGAAACATCAAAATAAAAGTAAACTTTCATATCAAGAGGAGCATTTGCACGGATAGGGAAGAGGCTGACCCTCACCTTTGCATCGATTCCATCATCGGAGTTGGCGAATTTGCCGCCGACAATGCAACTGAGCTGCTCAGGACTCATGTAGACGATGGAGCCCATGGGCTTGTGCAAGTCCATATGCGTGCAGTCGACGGGCAGACGCTGGCTAATACCCAGGTCAATAAGCTTCAGCATGCCCCGCACTATCACGAAGTTCTCCGGCTTCAAGTCCAGGTGCACGATTCCTACAGATAGAAAAACGTAAAAAATGCATAACTATCTTGCATTTATTTTCAGCTTGTTTTTTTTATCGTTTCATTTTCCTACGGTACGACACTTACGATGATGGCATTGGGCTTTGTCCATCTCTGCCTACACCTTTCAACCAAATCTGTCACTACATACGTAATTTGAGTTTTTCCCAAGAAGGTCTCCAAGGTGTGGCGTGGAGCCCTCTAGTAGCAGTCACTTAACCCTTCTGCATGTTTTCTAGGTCGTGTGAGTGACAACGTTGCCAGAATTAATTTCAGGGATGCACTAATGATAATCTTATTTGTTTGCATAATTGGGACCACCTCAGCTCCCCCACGATTCAGATCACCGTGACTGCAACACATTCACCCCGTCCACGTTGCCCATCACATTGGTCTGTCAGCCCCTCTGCGCGCTTACTACAAGGCTGTTTTCGGACTCCCCACGTGTTCCCAAATAGGCGGTATGGCCTGACAATTCTTACTTTTTTGCAGAAAATATGATCACTCTCACGGGTCATTTGGCGGTTTAAACTCAAAGGAAGAAGAAAGGCATCTACTATGAATGGTTGTATGGATGAGAATTCACGATAGAGAAACCAAGTAGGCCTACCATTCAACTTAGTTTAAAGCTGCACACCATGACCTAGGACGGAATGAAATGTGCATTTACATGAGTTAAAGTAGGTCAGAAGATCGTCCACCTCGAAACGATATCTGCCAAACCAATCTCATCAGTTCAATTTCCCAATAGAGAGCATGGTGACTGCATCCTACCAAAATCTCCAAGGTGCTGCTTTATACTATCTGTCCCAAAACCACTTCACTGGATGTCCTAATCTCTGATGATTTAGTTTGAAAGGTCAGTGAACTTATGCAGCATTCGGGAATTGAAATAACCATTAATCTGTTGGATGGTTCAATGTAAACGAAAAGCCTTCACTCCAAGTGTTTTTGAATTCATTGGAAACCGTTGAAAAACGTTACACTAGTTCGGCCCAACACAATTCTGACAGGTGAATCGCTGCATGAAAAGGACGATACTCCAGCAAAGCCGAAGGTCATGTCACCATACAAAGCCCTCAGTTTAGGAACCTTAAAAGCCATCTAGTCACCGGAAGGCAGCAAGTTAAATTCAGCTATCAACCTGTTGATGATGTTGTAGATGAGATGGCAATGCCAAAGATTCATTAAGTTCACATCAACGCCATGAACGCCGCCAAATTTCAAGATTCAAATCCCATGAGCTATGTAGAGAAGTTGACTCGATGCTACAAGATCCTCACACCAATTTCTCCAGTTTTCAAGGCCAAAAATGCCTAGATCTAAATGTTCATTCCTCCTGTAAAAGCGAAAGGCTAATTTGGAGGTCTTGCAACATACACGATTGAGAATCCAAGATAGCCCACTTCGACAAGTGCCCCAAGACTTCAAAAGCTTAACGTCTCCGAGACCTCAATAGTCGACGAAAGACGCGACACATCACAACCCAAAAAGGGTGGATTGTAAGAGTGGACAAATGCCATAATCTAGAGCTAAATCCAAAGCTATTAGCGAAACTTTGACTTACCTAACAAGACTGCATAAACGAGACAATGTACAGAGCGACGATTAAACAAATTCGGGCTTCAGGACGCGATGTCCCAGTGAGTACACACGATTAAATAACATGATCGGGTCAGATCAAGGGATATCATCAAAAGAAACCCAAGCATCCGGCGGTTGTGGTTGTAAATGTTTGAGGCCAACTCTTGCAAAGGCACTTGTACAGGTTTTATCACCTTCTAAATAAAACATTTTGGCATTGCTAGTTCAAAACCCGTGGCACACTTTCGGCCATACTCTCATCACCGATTTTCAGTGTCAATTAGACCGGCAGTTTAACGAAGCGACCAAGGGGTGCAAACTACGCATTGTAGCGAAAATCTCCGACACATAGTAGTGTGGAGTAAACACTTATTCACAACGAACCACTCATAAGCTTATTTACTAAGTCACCATGACAATCTATGATCCCAGTCTGTTACACCACTTATAGAAAGTATTCTGCCTTCAAAAGCCAAAAAAAACAGCCCCTCTCCCCTTCGTTTCTGTTATTCAAGGAGGGTATGGTGCTTTCTCACCAATAAGTTTTGCCGTAGTATGAGATGTGAAGTATGGCTCTTTCTTTCGACCGTTCCTACCTGTTTCTGAAGCACCTCTTTTGCACACGTTTTAATGACATTAAGACCTGAGCCATGATTATTTAACCCTCAGCAAGAAAAGCATCCCAAACAATTCGGTCTGCAAGCGACCAAACGCACGTGCGTACAGAAAATGGTCTTCTAGGGGTGAAATAATGAGTAGTTCAGAAGTGTGAGGCGAGAAGTAGAGTATTTGTGCACCTAGTGAACGTTGTAACAAAAAGGAGCAAAAGACATTCCTCACCACAAGTCTCTCGGCAAGCGGCTTGGAAAAGACGCGTTTTTGTAACGCGGAGAGACAAACAAACTGGTGGTCTTTGAAGCTCATTGACGTCCGATGATGAAGTAAGTGAGACCAATTAATTACCAGCTTCCAAGGCTTGGTTCATCACTCATGGCAAGTACTGGTGTAACTTATTCTTAGCATGTCAATCTCGATTATCAAGAATGGAGGGTCAGCTAAAACAATTTCCGGACGATACGTTTTGCTACTGTGCCTTCTTCAAAGTCCACAAAAATTTGCCGCAAAGCTTTCGGAGCTTTGAAAGCCTAGCCTAAATTCAGGTTTAACTGGCATTGTGTGAGGTTTCAATAGGAGGTACACTACCGGTAGACTGACTCAAACTCAGACCGTAGCATGCAAAAATAAGGTGGTAGATGCTTTGCAAGTTTCTGCACTTTGAAAGAAGCCACTACAGCAAGGTATAGCGCAGTCCACACAAACTGCTTGGCCACCTGTCGTGTGTCAGGGTCAATGGGGCATGGGTAGGTGTACACAAAATTTGACAAGATAAATCACAAAGACAAGCCGATTTTGGGTGAGCCACTGACTTAGCCCGTATTCCTGAAGTATGCTAAAAATTCCGAATGCCGAACAAATACAGATTCTGAGTGAATGAATGCGGTTATGCAAACTTCCCATCGCGGACCCATCACACTGTTTAGGATGCGGGCTCCAAGCTAGACAAATAAGTTGAGATGGAAAAGCTAACTATAGCTACATATTCACCCACCCTAGGAAGCATTACGAAATATCGGAGAAGACTCAAAGCAAATGAGAACACTTTGCAACAAAGATGGCCAGAATCTAAAGCGAGTCATTGAAAACTTTCCTTTGGAGTAGGATGTCAAGTTGACGTGCGACTTCTGGCGTCCATCCGACGCATTGGAAATGTATAAAATCAGATCACTAGTGGAAACATCCGGCTTTAACCACTTTGAGACCCAATCGGTTGGTAGTAAACACCAATTTAAAGTCGTCTACCAGGCTGCTGTTCAAGTTTTGCCGTAAAACAGATCAAGACCAATTCAAGACGTTAAATGAAAACAACAGAGATTTGTTGATGAAGATCCATTCGAAAGCTCGCTGCAATGCGCGACTTGCCGTCATGCATTCCTTAGCCTATTCAACGTATAAGAACTTTTGGCGCCAGCATTGCATCAATCCTTTCTCTATTTTGATTCAGCGTGCGTGAAAAGGCCTCAAAATTTAGCAGGCATACACGTGACATGGGTTCTTAGGCAAGTTATGGCAAATGGTTGCATAAATTTAGTCGCAGCCAGATTGACTGAGCTTAAAACAGCAAAAACAGATATAGAAGCTACTCATGATCTGAAGACAGTTATATGCCTTTGAGGTTTAAGTTGAAAACATCTTTTCCAGATGGTCGTTTTCGTTCTGAGAGCCTAGTCTTGAACGCGCTAAGAGACACCAAATCCTACAAGGCATCTATAAACTTGTGAAATAATCTCCACTGCGGACTGATCTTGGTGATCGTCACGTCTTTCAAACACAAAAAGTCTTCGAGAAACAATAATCGACAACACCAACCAGCATCACACAATATCCTTCGTCTTAGACATACCCCAAGAGGAGTTATAATATCGCATAGCAGATCAAATGTGAAATGAAAAAGGCTTACTTAGGAGTCATATCAACACAAGATGCAAAGTACGTAAAGGTGAAAAGCACGAACAGGTACCCTACTCAGGAAGTAAATTTTTACTAGTTCGACACGATACATTGCTGCGACCGAAAAATTACAGGAGTGAGAACAAAAGATTACGCGCGTGGTGCTTCGAAGAGTTCATACACAGCGTGTATCAGATGATGCTGGCACCATTACACTGACATTTCGAAGGCGACTGGTGCAAATTACCTGTTAAACACGGTAAAATGCAGGAACTAGATTAATTTTATTTCAGTTAGCGGTTTTTGAATAAAGGAGAGAGATCCACGTCAATAAAAAATTAGAGAGCAAAAATGTGAATTAAAACCTAAGCAACTGAAAATAAGGAACAATTGGAGCAGCTAAAAGATGTACTAAAACTGTTCGCAAAGTAAAATTCCATTAAAGCAATATGTCCGCGCCTCAAAAACGCAATCAGCTCATCAATCGAATAATCTATTGTAGCGCTTTCAATTTAAGAAATCAAGAGATAAGATGCGGATGTCTTTAGTTAGCCACTTAGAAATCTCAGATACAATGAAAGGTAGAAACTGAGGTTACAACACCGTTTGAAGGACTTGGATGAGAGGGGAATGTCAAATCCAATTCAAAGCTCGGATCCGCTATCGGGGTCAGGACAACTTTCCACCGGAGATTTGCGATTAAGCCATTCAGCAAGAGACAAGAAGTCGATTACGAACTTCGGCATAGGAATATCTGTAAAATCCTTGGGATAGATTTCAACGGAATGCCTCACGCGGCTGGAGATGGCTTGCATTTGAACGGGTATATTTAACAATTAAAAGACTCTGAGAGCTGCACACACTAAATACTACTAAAGTGGGCAATGAGTAACCTAGCTTCAACGAAAAGATAACGTCATCACCTACAAATAGAAGTAGATTTCTTGAATAACCTATCACGTCAAAATTTGCCTCAACTTAGGAGTAAGGCATCTTCCCACTCCCCTCTGAATGATTCTATGAGAACTTCAGATAACTCAATGCGCCCTGACCACCATCGAAGACCAGGGCTTTGTGAATCATGGGTGAAAAACCATTAACCTGACTACGTACGCAGAACCAGGAGCGACCCGAATATCAGACAGAGGGTGACGCAAAGGCCTGTCGAGTGCCAGTTTTAGCCAATGACTCACCGAGTCGTGACATGAGGATGGGGCAGCTTTGAGCGTCCGCCTTCGGTACCCTTCCCCTCATAGACGTCTCTACCTCATCCATCGCGCCTTGGCCTCAATTCACGTGGCATTGAACTCATTCTTGAGGCGTTAACCTCGCCGATCAGGATGGAACTATCCCAGTAATTAGTGGAATTAAGAGATCCATATTTAATGGCCGGATAAACAAATCCATGTCTTATCAAGGACAGTTTAATGGGAAAAGAGGGGAAGACGGTCACTTAGGGAACCATACGCAGTTATTGATGCCTCACCTTCTCAACAGAGCTAGCAGATACGTCCTTGACTGATTTGCACTGCATCAAGACCAAAAGATATCCAAACAAGGGGTCAATATGCCTCCAACTGAATGCCGAGAAAAGTTCATCGCTTTCAAAACGTATTGATCAGTACGAACAGGGGTTCAGTGATAAGAATCGCAGCTCACAACTTCTTCAAATAGGTTATAAGGGACGCTGGGGTGAAGTAATTAAGACCTATCATAAAGTTGAAGTGCCAAGCGGCAGCTGAAGGTCACCAGTTTTTATGTCTAGGGGTGAGCTTTAGCGCTTCAGTGTACCTCTAACGAAGTAGTGAGTGGAACGCTCGTCAAAGTCAGTTCTCATCAAACACAACCCTAATACCTTGACAGAATATCCAGCCAGCATGCAAATTACAAAACCTACCAAAATGTTTAGTTTTCAACACCTCCAACTGGTAAAACATTATTAAATGCTAACTGAGACTGCACCCAATCTTACTGCTAATTCACTCGCATCTCGCTGACAGGGCTAACTACCACTTTCGACCCATCGTTATACATTACGGTAATATCAACTCAGAGGAGAGCCTGAATATTCATGAGATGTTGTGTTTATGGACCAAGTTATTCCCGCACCAGAACCCCTCTCACATTGGAGGGTGTAACGCTACTTTTGTTTATGCTAGGTTGCTCAAAAGAGCCAGAAGGAATCCGAGTTTCGGCCTTGCCTCGTGCTGTGCGCATCCACTTGCATCAGTTTACGTAGACATTCGTGTCTTCGTTTCTTCCATCTTTCTTATCTTCTCCCATGGATTTGTTCGATCATTCAGTGAGCAAGCATGTGGTGCAACTGATTAAATAGAGTCTTTGTGTGCAATCTGAGTAAATGGAACTTTAGCCTGATTGCGGAGACTTTCAAAGAGGTTCACTCGAATTTCAATGATACCCACTCTCCACAATTCACATTCACCTTTCATAAAAATGTTCCTTTTCCCACCTGAAATTTCTCGTGATTTCGTTTGATTGAAATTTGCTTGAGTATCATGAAAAGGTTTCTTGCTTTCAATGGTTTCTACGTAGCTCCCTTTAGAGTACTTTTGAAGCTTTCTCGTGAAAAACGAAAGCCCTCTCAGACAACACAGTAAGAAAAACTTTTTAAGAATTATCTAACCCACTTTGTTGGCAATTAATGTAAACTTTAAGTGGGATAGACGTCTGCTGCTTCTATCCACTGCAGTTGTTCTCAGCTCAGGTCTTCCAATGTGAAATGTAATACAGGTCAAATTCCCTCAAATCGGCACCATAAAATCCACTTCAGTTATGGCTTAATTTGTCTGCACTGATACATCGCGTTCAGGAGTACAAAGCCACTCTAAATAACAACGATATTTTAATAGGTTATTTCAAATATTGAGGAATCGCATACCTTGTGCTTAAGGCTATTTTATAAGAATCATCAACTTCCCTCGAAGCCAGTAAGATCAAAATTTGTATTAACGACAATCGCCTTGATGACTACCCATGATTCTGAGTTATCCCCAATCAGACCAAAACCATGGACTCATCTGTGGCTACGACTAACCACAAACCGAGTGTGCGATTATGGCCCTAGTATAGTCAAAGAATATTGACGTCGCACGAAATTTATTTTAATTATGTAGGCTTGAGTATCCAGATCCTCTGGGTCTCTTTCGATTCAGACCTCATATTGATGGAAGGAAGTCCTGCTTCCAAGCCGTCAGTACGGTAAAGCTACTTCTAGACTCGTATGCTATTTAGTGCCTTCACTGCGATGCACGATTCCAAACAGACACCGCTATGCACACGAAGGAGTTTCTGCCCATCTGACCACCGCTTTAGCAGGCGAACCAATGGGCGACGTCGAAGGAAAAGTGCGTACGTGAAAGCAATGTCCACTCACTGTAGCGACCTTTCTCAGCGTTCGACGACATTAATACGAGCTCATCCGGTCCAGTAATGATGAAGCCAATACCTCGTTCTATGAGATGGGGCAAATTGTTCCAGCGACTTAAACCAGCCTTTTAAAAGGCGACATAGTACTTACTCCCTACACATCTCGCTTAATAGTCACTGCAATTGTTACACAAATCGTGACAAACAACTTTTGATACAAGCCGAGTAACTGAAAAAGACTCAATAGTTGACAACCAACACTAAATAAGGCGTCGCCATCTTTGCGTCCACTTTTAAGAGCAAAAGTAGGATGTCACTGGAATACCTACCATGGCATATGGAAGTCACTTGAGATGTCAGTGCGAAACTGGGACATCTCAAAATTAAAAGAGTCAAAGTAAGTGAAAAGTGAGAGCCCTGAGATGATAGACTATTCTTTAGATGCTACATACCTAAATAATTCAAAGCTAATTTTCCATTCCTTCCTGAGTGGAAAGATACAGGCGTTCATTTCCGTCTGCGATAGCTTAACGAAAGTTTGATCTAAATAAAACATCATCGAGGGAGTAAACAAAAGCCATCCCATCAGGAAATCCATCTGACCGCAAATAGTGTTGCAAGAGACGAACTTCACCATTGGCCACGACTCGGCCAGTAAATCATTCGACAACTCGGAGCGACTGATAGGCCTGAAAACATCTGGCTATCAAGATTCGACTTGTGAGTGGTATGTCAGCAATGGAGTGAATCAGTGTCTACCATCGGAAGAATAGTCCGTAATTCGGCCAAGTAATACCGTATAGCAGTTTTACATAAGTAAAATGGTTAAAGTGCCTTTAAACACGACAAAGCAGGCACAAAAAGGCAGGTACCGATTTATCTATTAGCAGAGTCTACAGTTCATCGTAAAAATATACTTTCTGTAAAAATGAAGACACGGATTCACAGTAGTGAGGAGTAAAACCTGCATTTGTCTGCTTAACGAGAATTGAAACAATGAAGGATTTGGTGAATAGCTGACCTACTGTAACTAATAAACACATTTAGGAACTAACCAAAATATCCTGAACATGTAATCCTCCACCACGAACGTTCACATATTACTCTTCATCAAAACAGCGAATACAATTTGCACTGATTTGCATTGAGTTGAGCAATACAGGAAAGTAGTATGCCTCTCGATGGGCTTCCGGTCTTCGTTAGTAAAAAAATTAAATTAGTACCCAAACAAATAGAAATTCTTGGGCTTTTCAAATCCCAAAGCCAGGGCTTATTTTTAAAAATCCGTTAAGGCCTAATAAAGACGGCACCATTCAATTTGATTTCGTTAATAAAATGATTCTTACTGACAAAATAGCAAGTAGGACGATAAACTCACGTCGGTCGTGGATGACCTTGACACAAGCAAGCATCTCGTTCCAAAGGAAGGTGACAACGTGGTCAGGGAGGGATCCGCTCTCCTGACGCATCTTCAGATGCGACTTGAGATCCTGTTCTGCGAGCTCTAACACCATCACCAAATGGGAGGGTGAGAGTTCACTGGAAAAAGCTGACATTCAGTTACGTGATCGAATACTGAAGATTCTTAAGCAAACGAGATGTCCGTAGAAACAGTCTGTTGAAGTTGGAATAGTCTCGATGAAAAAGAACACTCTTTAATTGGTCAAATGCTAAGAGATAATTCACACGCAAATGATGACGTGGTCTACTTCAGTTTTTTGCCAAAATATCGCCAATTTTTGATTAAGCGCAAGCGGCTTGAGCATTAGAGGATGAAATAAGTGGAAAACTTCTGAAGAATTCTACTCATCTCACCCATCTTTTAGCTACACAGCATGGCATTTGGCTAATTGATTAGGAAGAAACGACGAACTTATCCTAAGCCAATCTGTTCAACAGAATAGAGCTTGAATTCTTCTTTTGTATAGCCTTGTCAGTAAACTGACCAAATCATACAGCGCAAGTGTAGAAAAGAAGTTAAATAACAAAGTAGTGGTGACAGAGAATGCTACTTAGATGAAATATACACGAGAAATATCTTATTAAAACGTGAAATCTTCGGCAGCCAAGGAAAAACACTTCTATCTGATAGGCTCCAGGTAAAAAGTGCTTTTCATGGATTTCTATCCAAAATAATCACCTAATTAAGGCATCATCTTTGAAATGACAAGAAATTTTGGGAGTGCGCCTGCATTTTAATTTTAGATGCATTAAAACGCAGCATTTAAATTATATTTACTTATTTCAAAGTGGCCAGAAATAAATAAAACCTTGACAAGATATACCCGAAACTCACTCCCTGACTGGAATGATACTTTAATATGTAAAAACTTTGATCCTAAAAACACAAAACCCCAAGTCCACAGAACTACTCCGAATTTTAATTGACGTTCCTGCATACAATTTTCTGGAAAAATTTCGCACTGGAAAGATGCTTGAAAGTGCACATTTTCGTGAATTTCAATTGCAAAAAATGAAGTAGCGATCAAATTGGTAATAAAACAATCGAACCTGCAGGAAATGACTTCAGCCTATAGATATACATGTCCTTGGAATGTACAAGCAATGGATCTATTGAACTGAGGAAACACAAGTCCTATAGTAGGTGAAGGATGAGATATTGAAGGAATAGTACATTATGACCACTAATAAAATAAACTCCCTGAAATGCACTACGGGAAAGTAGCAAAGGAGACTGACTAATTGTAGAGAGCGATGACACGGCCGGATTCACGAAGGGACAAGAGGAGATCAACTTCGTTCTTGCACACTTCCAATACATCCGCCGAGGCGGAGACCAGTCCGACACGCTTAAGTGCCAGCATCTCGCGCTTCTTGTTCATCACACAAAACACCTGCAATAGTCGTGAAACCAAATATACTTTGAATTTATAAGGAAAAAGCATTCTTTAGTTTGTCTCAGATTGGCAATATCAGCGAACCACGGGCCTTATCAGTATGAAAAAGACTACAATCTAATGAGTTGGGAGGGGCAAATATCTTCAAAAAACGTGCATTCGGTTTCTGCATACGGATATGGTGAAGACCTTAAGCCTTTGCTTAAACCAGATCAGACAGTTTGACCAATGAAAATAGATATTTCTACTGTCCGTCAAGGGCGCGCACCGATGAAAATCCCCCGCGAGCAATTTGTCGTAGAACGATAAATTTCTCACCATCCACTACAACGTTAGACCGCTCCACCAGCGCCGAGATGGGATCTGCCTCTGCCTCCTCCATCGCTTTCATCTCCCTTGTCTCCGCTTTCTTCAGCCTCGCAAGGGCCTCCCGCGGACCCGCCCACGAAACACGTCTATGCCTTGTGGAGGAAGAAGGCGATAGCGGTGGTGGTGGTTGTTGACAAACATTTTCCTTGTCCACTCCTCCCGTTCTACCTGTGCTTGTGTACGTACGGTGGCGAGGCAGTAAAGAAAGTTAAAAAATGGGTATTATCAAGTGCTTCTTTTGTACATGGTGCTGGCAAGTAAAACAGACTATTGAGACATCCCTAATTATCTGGAAAAAAATTCAGTTCTGATGCTACTATTTATTCCTCCCGAAAATGCCTTAGAACAAAAGGCTACGGGCTTATTAACACCCATAAGATCGAAAGGAAGGCACCGGAGCTGGTTCCATTGGGCAACTAATAATATGTACGGGTGCTATCAGAGAGTAATGCCACTTTACAACATAAAGCAAATAGTATTTACACCCAGCATTAGATGGGAAAAACGAATTGGCGGGACAGATCTACGTCAAGATGAACTAAGGAAGGCATTGTGAGCCCTACTGCAACGGTCTATTTAATCTGCAATGGGTGCCATAGTGGGCGACGGCTTTGTAAAGCAGGACGAGCCTTTTAATTTTGGTATGGAGACAACACTAATTATAAAAGGAGAGATTCTAGAGCTTTAAATGCGGGTATCGACGAAATCATTTCAATGAGTCGCAAACCCCAGAGATATTTGCAAAAGGCAACCACTGATTTCACTACTTCGAAGCGCGGAATACGAACGGAGAGAACTTTCCACAACGCTACGGAAGAAATTAAAAAAACCACAATAATTGGATAAAAAACATCCAACTTCTCGGATTATGCCATTCCTGAGACATGAAGCACGCGTTATAACGTCTAAAGCTACTCATAGTTGGTAAAGAAAGCCGCATTTATGGAATTTTACAAGTCTTAATTTTGGTGGTCAAGCCAAAAGTAATACGAAGAAGAGACAAAATCATGCCCGGCCAAACTTCAGGAAGATGGCAAAATTTGATAAATCACCTTGCATAAAGGTATTACTATACACCTCTTAAAGCTGCATATTTCTTACATAAAAATAAGTACTTCACAACCAATAATCATAAAAGATGAGCCAGAACAATGAGAAAAGAGAATAAAGATGGCAAAGCTATACCAAGAAAGAGAGTTGACTTTACGGACACCGTCCCTGGCTGTACAGTGGCAGCACCACTATCATCCTCCGAGGCCGAAAACTGAGAAGACATGTGGACACATGAAGACTCATCGAAGGTTTGGACAGAAGAGGGTTGGAAGGGTATTTGTACAGTCACAAGACTCTCCATATCAGTCTTTTTACTTTCGACCCTATTTTCCAACTCTGCTTCCGCCTCCTCATCTTCCTCGCCGATTCGCTGAAGTGGCCAGGGTGGACGTCGAATTGGTGACTGTAACTCAGAATCCACCACCTCCATCGATATATCTGAGACATTAGAATCAGGCTTCTCACCACTACTTGACTCATTTTGATCATCTGGTGACTGAAAGGCAAGATTATAGTGCGACCGTAAGCCTTACCTTGAAACTGTACACTGATGGCTTCAATCTATAACGAAGTTACGAATCTGGACAAAAACGCAAGCGTTACCTCTCTTTGAGGTCAGGCAAAAAACTCTTGTGAAGACTAGGGCCTTTCCCCAGCCTGTTACCCCAAGCACCTAAAACCGGTTACGGAGATATTTTGAAATACCAGTGTTAGTGGGCACATAATCGTAAATACCCATCAAAGGACGAAATGAGAGGCCATGTTTGTGCCACTTTATCGCTTTTTCAAGTAAGCTCTTGTCTAAATCACAGGTCGCAAAGGTTTTGGCACGATCCAAAATAGATGCAGCACGAGACATATTACCTGAAAGTGTATCAGACAAAAACAATACCTAAAACTGTAAAGTAGTGCGCCAAAGCAATCATTAGGCGGGCATTTGAAGGGGCGTTGAGATTAAGAATAATGAGAAACTTCAAGACCTCATCAAACGATTCAGTACTAAAGAAATAAAGCAAGAACCGAAAAATACCCTTTTAAAATGGCTAGACGTATCATAATCACTGTGTAACTCTCATCATTCCATAACTCCGGAAGGACCTATGGGTTAAAGTGCGTAAAAAACCTACATCAATTGCATATTCATATATAATCACTAGGTCCTTTTCTGATCCATGGGTGAGTCCTTTCCTAACATATTCCTCAACTTTGTTAAGGTAGTTTAGCCAGTCAATTGGCACAACTGAAGTAAATGGGCCTAAAAAGAATGAATAAAATTCCATACAAACATTCTTTTAACATTAATTTGGGGACCCTGAGGATATCGCCCAACCTCATAGCCCGCTTAGTTTATTAGACGCGCTGTCGCCCCCGATTATACAAACGCGCCGATCTAAACAAACTGCCATGTATATTTGTACAGAAGAAGCACTAAAGTTTTAAAAAAAGTTTTAGTTTGCGTATGTTTTTATGTACTAATTTTGTTTGTTATTATTAAGTGTCAGACGCCCTATCTACAACTAACAAAACTAATCAATATATTACAGTACTTTAAAGTATTTATAGCATTCTATTCAAAGTTAAGATTAGGTAATACTTCTTTAAATAACAGTCTAGGCACTGCTGTGCAAAGTAGGTTAAGTGTGGTGAACTTAGTTATCCTTTGTGTCCCAAAAAGTCTTAGTAATATGGCAGAAGACATACGCTGACGTACAGAAGAGGCGAGGCTACTAGCATGATCCGAAATCAATGCTACTGTAGCGTCCCGAGACTCCCTGAAGACAAAAGAAGACAAAATACTCGGGCAGAATATACATTCAGCGCAGAGAAGGTGTCTGGGCTATTGGCATGGCCCAAAAGGCCAGCCCACCCAGCGAGGTACAAGGGGACCGATTCGAAGTACAAAAGTAGCGCCTCACCAATATCGAGGGCTAAACTACCATCGTATTACACTACCGTGCAAAATTTTCTTTTACAATGGCCTAAGTGCTTGCCTACCCAAACCTAGATTTAAGAGATCCGCCAGATAATTACAGTTGACTTCTGTACGAGACAGGAACGTCCAAATTGCGTCAGTCTAGCCGCCCAAGTCTTTGCTGAAGTTGTGGTAAATCAGAGCAGCACGGAAGGCATACACCCTCAACGCGTAGAGCGGCTGCGGGACTAGTGAGCGTTTCCCGAATTCCATGCTTCGGAGCAGGCGTACAGCCCGAGGAAAATGAAGTGCAGCCGGAGCTGAACACACGGCATAAGTCATAAGGTTTCTACATTAATAGTGCGAGGGCGCTGCAAAGTGGCCAGCAAAATTCAAGACAGCTCAACTACAGCGTCTTGAGACTTCCCTGTGGACGAAAGAAGACATAATACTCGGGCAGGATACATGTGTATTTAGCACAGAGAAGGCATTTGGGCTACCCGCGTGTCCCGAAGGCCAACCCATTTGGCGTGGCACAAAAGGCCGAGTCAAAAGTGGCTCCTAACAAAAATCGGGAGATAAACAACTGTCAAGAACTGGTCAAATACTAAATATTGTTCCGGTCATAGTTGCAGCAGTTGCATTTTGCAAAAGTTTATTTATTTCTAAATATCTTCTTGGAGAACAGTTCATTTTTAAGCATTAATTGCTTACAAAAGTTTAAGAGCTTATTGGGATTACTTAAACCATCGTTATGGTGCTTTTGCTTTTTAGCATTTTGCTATTATGAGGCTTCATCTAGGCACCTCTATTAGGGGCATGGCCCCTTGCGATGCTTTCTATGATTATTGTTTTAGAACTCCTTTTTTCATCATTCATATTTATAAGTGGTTTGAGATGTCTTTTTAAATTTATGAAATGCTTTACATACTTTTTCACTACACTTAAACAGTACTTTCCATGCAAAAATACCGTTTCATGTCAGTTTCTACCATTTACCACCTAAGTGGAGCACTTTTGCCACCACCTAACCCAATAAGCACAAGTTATCTTACACTTTTACACAATTTTTATTGTGCCTAACTTCTTCAATCACTTCATTATTGTAGTTTGGTGTGCACCTTTGTTTGTATATATCTATATCTGCGCAGTGGTTACCGTTCCTGCACATTTGAATATTTGGTAGTAGTGTTGCTCCTGGTTGCTATTCTGTGATTGACCGTACGACATAGTAATGGCTCTGCAACAGGACATTGGGAAGCCCTGTCTGACTTGTGCTTCGGAATGTCCCGGCTTTAAACTCCACCCATGGAGGTAACGTTATTCTCAGTTCTGCATATTTTAGGGCGACGTGTACTGCTTGTCACTGCTCCTACGACAAACATGCTGTTACTGATCCGTCGAAAGATTCTTACTTACATGAGCTGGAATTATCTGACACTACTGTACTCAAAGCCTACGATGTCGCACAGACAGTTGCAAGGGAACATGGTCTACACTGGCTTCCCGTCGGCATTCAATCTTCGGAAGTAATTGGCTCATGTTATTCCTACTGGTTTCCTATCTATTTAGTTTCAATGCATTTTGCAAGAAAATTTTAGAAGTTGCTATTTGTAGGTAGTTGGTAGGTAGTCAGTTCCACAACCTTTCTTGCGACAGCCAGTTTTAAGTTGAGGGACCTGGAGGATTTTCTGGAGCTGCTTTCATAACTATGAAGTGTATCAAACGACTAACTGTTTTCTGCTTATTATAATCCAAGTTGATGTAACTCGGAATCCTCAAGTCGATCTTAAGAGTTGAATTGACGTCACTGAACAGTTATCTGTCTATTCTCCGCCTCCTTAGATAGTCCTTCTAAATGCCTGCAACTTCCTTCTAGGTTGAGGCTTTTCTCACCTCTCTTCCATCTTCGGAAATACCTCGAGGGGAAGCTTACGTTGAGATGCGTACTCGGCGTATTCGCCATCAAGTTCCCCCACAAGACCGAAAACCCGCATCTTCTCTCAGCACTGCGAAGCTCAATCTTCCCCCTTCCAATACACCTGCTAACCTAGAGGGGGAATCTCGTGAGGCTACGCGCTTCCAAAACTCTCGAAATCGTCGTGATTTTGGTATCGGACGAGTCGAACGTGCATCTGCAAAGGCCACGGTTGTGAGTTCCATTCCTGATTCAAGGAGAAATTTAAAGACAGATCGGAACGGTTGTTGTAAAAATTAGTGGTGGTCGTGTTATTAGGCTTCAGCCCTATTGTTCTTGGTTCATGTTGTGAAACCTGTAAGTACTGTTATTTTTGTGCTCGTGCTATATCCTGGCCTGATAAAGCTACTGAGGCTTTTTGCTGTCAGTTAGATTGAATCCCGAATTGTATCTTCTACTTCCATTTCAATAGTAACTACTGTTCAATAATAATTGCAGGTATGCGCCGAGTGTTCGGAGCAGATCGGATTTAGAGAGTTTTGTGTCCGAATTCGGCCAGAGCATCGCCTGTCTGACTCTTCTGACAACAGCTATGTACCCGCCTGGCATCCGGGTTGTTTCCGTTGCTCGAATTGCAGCGAACATCTTGTTGATTTTGTATACGCTTGGCTCAATGGCAAGCCTTACTGCCTCCGCCACTACGGCCAGATGATTCGACCACGCTGCGCTACTTGCGACCATGTGAGTAGCATATTTTCTTTCGTTTTCGATTTTAACTGGTTTTGTTGTTAGCCATTGAACTGCCAACTATTGTGCGCTGAAGCCACCTCCCCATTCTTAGTAGTATGAATTACTCCTAGCAATCAAAGTTTATGAGTAATTGGAATGCTTCTGTTTGTACACACGGTGTTATCAATAAGTCACAGCAGGCGTTGTTGCACCTGTCCCTCCATTGGCTGTCCTCGTGCCAAGCTGCTACTGGTTGCCAAGGCGTTACTCGTCTCTGACACACAGGCCAATCGGGGCGTTTGCAGCAAGCGTAGGGACAGGCATGTGCGTGGGTGTGGTGTGGTGGCGTATGCGTGTGCGCGTACGTGTCGTGCGTCGGTGTAGGGACGCGCACAACACAAAGAGCCGACGTGCTTGCAGCCATCGCTAGACTTGCCTCTCCCATCGATTTCTCCTGTCCACCTTACCCGAGCCCTCGCCCATTGGATTAGTCCATTTGCCCACTGGGAGGCGGCGTGTGGGTGCGCGCGTGGCCTTGAATAATACTTCGTTCTACGTAGCTGCTGTCGTGCCGTTATTGTACCTAGACGCGTGTGTGCTAGATAGACGCGCACTCGTACACAACTTACAGGTAGTAGAGAGGGCATAATCGCCTTGCCTATTTTCACACGTGGCATTGCGTCTTCACATTTCACGTAAGCTCTTTTCCTATTTTGTCTTCTTGTATCAATTCGTTCCCCTTTCTCTCTATTTGAAAGGCATGAAAAGTCGAGGAAAAGTTGTTTTTATTGCATGTGTGTTATCGGGCCACTTATGTGTGCGTGTTTATTTGCCGGAATTGCGTGTACCCTTGTGAGGCCATCCACGTTGTGAGATTTATTGCGAGGTGGATCTTGTTTGTCCATTATTGTGCGCGCACGCGCCACATTTATTTTTACGGTTGGTTGGCATTGGCGACTTATTTTAACTAGCCGAGTAGTCTGTGTCTTTCTTGCGCACCACCTTTATTATTCCTGTTTTTATCAAGTATTGTAACTGAGCCGAGGAGGACTCCTCATCTGGACCGAAATTATTTACCAGTGTCGTTCCACTGAGGTGGTGGTAATGTAATGCCTTTGCATTGTAGCTCATATTTTCCGAGGAATATACGCGTGCCATGGATCAGGAGCACCATACAGGTCACTTTGCCTGCCGCAGCTGCGACGTCTCTCTAACTGGTCAACGCTACATCCTCCGAGACGAGGAGCCTCATTGTCTGGCCTGCTACGAGGCGAAATTTGCCAACACCTGCGAGCAGTGTAAGGAGAAGATTGGCTGCGACTCCAAGGTGCGTTAGAGTAATTGAGCGCCCTAGTCCACTGCCACCAGTAGGTCCATGTCTCTTAATCGTCCCTCCAGTTCTCTTTCCCTCCTTCCCTAATCCTTTTCTCCTGACATGCATGTCGATGCGCCCTCCCTAGTCCCCTCCGGTGAGTCTCGTTACTCTTTCGTCCCTGTTCCACTCCTCTCTTCATCCCCCATTTATTTGTCCCCTGTGAGCATCGAGCACTCTTGGGTTAATGGCACTTGTAGGTCCTTGTTGTTGCCACCTCTGTCGTAAAATAGTGTGTTCTTTACTGGGAGGCATCCGAACCAGACAAGTGCTGTGAGATCGCTTGAGTCGAAGGGTGATTCTTTTATTCTCGAGCTGTCGGACGCCAGTCCACCCACCTACCTGAATTTTGGCCTCCTAGAAACACCTAGCCCTGGTTCGAGCCAAGCCCACCGTGAGTTTCTCCCGTAGTTTACGCTCTCTCCTCTCCCCTTCGTCCCTTCCTCTTCGTCACATCTGCTCAACTTGTCCCCCGTGCTAGTTGTCGTGCCTGTGTTTTTGTCCGTGTGAAATGGTCCCGTTGTTGCCAGTTGCCTTGAGTCATGTATGTAAGTTTGTTTATGCGTGTTTGCACGGATTTAAGTTGAATTTAGCCCTATACCTATTCCTCCACCCATATGCTTTCACCACGATTGTTATACTCTTTCCTCCTGATCTCAGTGTTTTTTCTTTTTGACCTCCCCTCCCGCGGACAACAGGACCTCTCCTTCAAGGAGCGACACTGGCACGAGAAGTGCTTCAAATGCTCCGCTTGCAACACGTCGCTGGCGGACCGTCCCTTCGCAACGAAGGACGACCAACTGTACTGTTCCGACTGTTACGATGAGCGTTTTGCAGCTCGCTGTGACGGCTGCCAGGGCGTCTTTAAGGCGGGCATGCGGAAGTACGAGTACCGCGGCCAGCAGTGGCATGAGGAATGCTTTGTGTGCGTGGAATGCAAACAGCCTATTGGTGCAAAGAGTTTTATCCCTCGTGACAACCAGGTGGTCTGTGTTCCCTGCTACGAGGCTAAGTACGCGCAGCGCTGCACCAAATGCTCCGAGGTCATTCGCCGCGGTGGAGTCACGTATAAGGGCAATCCCTGGCACAAGGAATGCTTCACTTGCACCAGTTGCGGCAAACAACTTGCCGGCCTCAAGTTCACCTCCAAGGATGAGCAGCCCTATTGTGCCGACTGCTATGGGGATCTCTTTGCGAAAAAGTGCACCAAGTGTGGCAAACCCATCACTGGTTGGTCTCTGCTGCTCTTTCTTATTTTCCATCTTTCTGCATCGTGGTTTTCTCTATTCTCTTTCACTTAGGTTTCGGTGGCTGCAAGTTCATTTCGTTTGAGGATCGTCACTGGCACTCAGAGTGTTTTGCCTGCAGCAAGTGCGATTGCAACCTTGTAGGTCGCGGCTTTCTCACAAATGAGGATCAGATAATGTGCTCTGACTGCGGTCGCTAGATCCCCTTAATCGAAGAACTGAAAAACCCACTCACTGTGCCCTAATTTCCCACTCCAAGCAAGATGTCGCTGCTGCTTCTTTTCATTTGCTGCTGTTTCCTCAGTTCCCCCTCCACCGTACACCCTCGTTCTGGCCTATTTTCTTCTGTGGGGATCTCTGCTTTTGCTGCTGCTGCTCTCCGTCCTGCCTATGCTTTTGTTGTAAAGGAACAGAGACTAGCCTTCTTCAACGCTTCTTCTTTCTTGTCAGTGGTGGTGGCAACGACAGCAGCAGTAACTGCAGTTTCAGTCCTGTCTACCTATCGATAAATTTTCTTTATCCGCAGTTATCGATATGTAGGAATGTTCTTTTTTCTACCTTTTCTGGCGGTGGTGCTGCACTGCGTTTTTTCGCTGCCGGATCTTTCCGCGCTCTTCCTCCTTTTCATTACGCACTCTCCCTGCATCATCGATCCGCATTTGACGGTCCTGCGGTCTACCGCCTGGCCTTTTATTTCGTGTCCGCTACCACTGCCCTCTCCCTCCCCCACCCGTATTCTAAAGCCCACGTATTCAAACCTCTTTCTGTCCATTAGCTAAAATACATCTGACGAAACTGCGTATCCGGGGTAAGCACTGAATTCGCTTCTTCATCCGAGGATTCTCGGTCTTCAAAGTCGCCTTCGAGGCAAAAGAATCCGGGGAGGGTTCATTTCGGGGCTTGAGCAGTTGCGTAGTCATCTTCTTTCTACATTTCAGCAAGTTTCATGCGTCGATGAACGTGTGCGCATGTGGGCACGTGCGCGCGCAAGCAGCGCATGAGAAGGGCTGGGGATTCGTTTTGACGAAAAACAAAATTCGTGGGAAAGAAACGCAAAATTTAGTGCTCGTAAATAGATCCGTTTATCTCGAGTGGGGTGCTCTTGGGGGCGGTTGATTAGATTGCCTGTGGCAGAGGTTAGACACAATCGGCTGTGCATGCTTCTACTCATCGCCTCGTCTCCGCTTCTCGCGTTTTCGCGTGTGCGCTGTGCATGTATATTGTGGGTGGCGTGCTTTGTGCTCTGCTGGATGCGGGGATACTCGCGATGACTAGGACAGAAACGGCGCTGACTCAGCCGTCTTCAAACAGGCGGTGCGCGCGGCTCCACCAACCACCACTGGTTCTCCTGCCAACTGTCTGAATGCAGGTGCAAGCAACGGTTAACATGTCAATTTAACGTGACTTGTCATTTTGCCTCAAAAATTCGCCAATAGCATCTGTTGGAGTGGCTTGACTACCAGACCGGCATTTCTCGAGTTAAGCGATCTCTACGTGCACCAACGCCTTGATACTAAGCTTGAAAGTCCCAAGTCCGCAACTGGGGTGGTGAAACTGGAAATGGCATTTCGTTGACCCTGTCAGGTTTGTTCGAGGAATGGTCTGTGCAAAACTCGTCGGCGAGTAGCTTCAAGGCATTGGTGAAGCAGCAGATGCTCCGTTTAAATGCCACACTCCTTTGACTAATGAAATGAAATGGGGCAACGATGTATGGCGCAGCCAGATGAGACCGTGCCGTTGCTATGGCATCAGACACTGGCAGTCACAAAGTGTGTGCGTGTGTTGTCGGTTTTATGGGAGGGAGGCACGCCATTCATGAAGTGCAATAAAATTTTGTACTGAGGCATTTTAGTACTGCAATGGTGGAACAATTGTGAGCACAATGCGTCATTACATCGGGGAATGTGGAATGTCCAAGCGGTTGGGTGAGACTTCGAGTGAAATTGGAAAGTTCAACCACCCTAGCAAGTGACTTTACTCTAGAGGCTGGGTCGTTTTCATGTGGGCACCTGAGCCGAAGTAGAGGTTGCGAATCGGCTGAAAAGGTGGAAGTCGGTGCATTCACCCTGCCCTATACACTGACACGTGCGCTACCGCCATCGGCGCCAATACGCAGACTCGGTGTCACAAATATGTGATAGGCGTTCTTTACTTTTCAATCATTGCCTTTTGAAAATTATGTCTCAAATGCATTGGTCGCGTTTAAATCAAGAAGAGAGATGCAAGGTGTTCATGATTCAATGATAAGTGCGTTTCTGGGTATTTCAACAACAGTTCATTTGGCCAGTTAGTGTCATAGTGAAACAGCGAACCGTCCGTACTGTCATGATTGGATTTTCTTCTGAGGCCTTGGTGGTGAAAGCACCCACCATTTCACATGGTGTCGCCAAAACAGCTCCGGCTCCTCGACAGCATGTTCACAGTTCCAAAAGCATTTACATGGGATGACATACCGAAAGAATGCTACCCAGGCATGACAAGCGGAGCTCAGTCGGGAAGTGATTCATTCGTTGGCAAAAAACCTGCGCTTTTTATGCAAGACAGCGTCCTGAATGGGTATTGGGGCAAAACAGGCGTGAGAAAACAGAAGCTTTTTCGCAGGTCTGTTGGCAAACATGACCACGACTCAAAACAAAATGAGGGTGTTTCATTGGGTCTCCATGGCGCAGTAATATCACCGATGATCGAAGTAGAATCACATCACTTGGCTGCCACCTTCTCTTGGGTAACCTCGACAGTCAAGTGATGCTTTAACCAACCTCGAGGCGACAAAAGAAGACTCTGCGTCGATTTTGCATCCCAGCCATATGGCAGCCGAATTTAGCCATGAGAGTGATTCTGGCAGATTTTCATGGAGTTACGCGGCCTGTGTTACTTAAGGACTAGTCCTCAAAGCTTGACAATGTTACAGCCAGTTTCCTAGAGTCGGTCATGTTAACTTAACAATCCATTCAGTGCAGCACGCAGTACAACAAGGCAGTTCCTCTAATTTTTACTCCACTTCGCCATTCATTGCCATTTTCATATGCCCCAGAGACCTGTCAATGTCATCAAGCCTGAAGTAATATTTTTTAAGCATTTACTAACGCTTTGAAGTGGCTCTCTTTCCATCACTGTCGTAGGGCGCCATTCCAGATGCCTTTCGTCTGCCAAGTTCTGTGTGTAGTAATCGACCACAGAATTTACGCCTGAGCCTACAGTTTGAGACCCAGCACTGACCTCCGCAAGATGTAAAGAGGGTGTGACTCATTCTAGCATACTGGTGCCACTATAGAGACTTAGGTATCCTTGTCAGAGAAACTCCGAAGAAGCGATGCATTGGTTGGGGGCTGAAAAGGTACCAAGATCAGCAATTCATCATTTGTTCCCACGGAGATAGCATGCGCTGCTATATATGACATGCATAATTCCCACGAACAGTCGACTTCTTCTTCCACTTAACCGACAAATACAACCGTCACAGCTTTTGTATCACATTCCTTTGTTTAATACAACCGAAATAATCTCGATGCACAAAGTAAAAGTGATATTGTTTGTTGTCAAGCCAGTTTAAAATTGAGCGTCTTTAGGTTACTAATTTTAACTGCAGGTTGCTTTCATTCCCCGAAATTGGAAGTAGACACCATCGCTTTGATTTTTCGCAGTGACCGCTCAGGTCCCCCTATTTACTATGGAGGTGCGTCGTTACCATCACTCCAGGCGCATAGTTTATTACCTTCCTTCCCACAGAACAACTTCCATGGCACGACGAGCTATCACAAAACCATAGTCAGAGTCCTCAGGATTGAAGGTGAACTACTTCGATAAGATGCCTGAGGTAGAGTCAATTTGAATTTCAGTAAAATTGAGCCTACGTTGGATTTTTGCGCGGTTCGATTAACCGTGGCATCCAGTACGGCTCATCACATCACAGCTGAGGCTAAAAAGTTTGCACTAGCAACCCAGTTCAGTATAATCCAGCCTACACGCTAACTAGATGCTCCCTTAGACCTAAAATGTAGTGGATTACGAAGAAGCAATTCCTCCTTTTAGGTGTCTTACTAACTCAGATAGCAAAACTGTGCTGACGGTAGCTTCGAGGCAGCGCATTGCCTTCGGAGGTATGAAAAAGGTAAATTTAGTCCGAAATTGGGTAATTTCCCAATATCCCAACAACTGGCGTTCTGCCCCTTACGTCCTAAGGGCGTGACTCACTGGACCCGGGATTCGTACGGTCACCCCGACAACTGTTGCCCCCAATGCACCCGCCAGTTGGGCAGATTTCGCCTTAGTGAGTCAACCGGCCAAGTGATTGGGCATTTCCGGTGACCATTCTGGCATGCACAGGCCTTGTGAATCGCGTCCTTGGTATCCTCAGCCCTCTCCAAATTGCGGAATGAGAGGAAAGAGGCTTTTGGAGCCGTTTGCTAACCACGAAAAGACATGACTTGCATCGAAAAATGATGACTACCACTGACTACACCGCATAATAGGGGGACGAGGTCACGCTTAAATTTGACTAATTTTCCATCGCACTACACTGGTGTCGTTTAATCCCGAGATGACAAATGCATTTCTCTACTTAAGAGGTACTTTTAATGTAGTGCTAGTCCTTCTGGAAGAACGACGATACAATGACAAAGGGGTTTTTCAAGGCTTGCCAAGGCAACTTCATGTTTAAACCTCCAAGATGCGATAAGATAACTTGAATTGCAGCTCTATTCTAAGCCTTGAAAGGCACTGCCTGTCAGAATTGCGTTGTCTCACACAAAGATAGACCTCCTTCTCATAATCCGAATCTCTCTTCCTCAGCATTTATTTCAATCAGCTTCATAAGTATTCATTCACTATGGATACTGCCAGCAGGAAAGCAGACTATCAACTTTTTGAGCTAATACTCAAGTTCGTTTTCATCATCAAATTTCTGCCTAGTGATTACTATTGCGATGTAAATCTTTTTAATCTCAAATAGACACCGAATATATAGGAGGGTCTTCCCCGTCTTCTGTGCCGACGAAGCACAGCTTTGAAGCCCTACCAGTACATCCACTCAGCTTAATCATAGTACTGCCCTTCAGAGTAATTCAGTGTTGTCTAGACAGTGGTGCCTTAAAACCCTTCTACCGCTATTTCACGCGAAGTCAGTTGTATGAGATAAGAGATTTCTCCGCTTTCACCAAGTCCTGCTCCCACCGCAATCATCTTATTCACGTTGGTGTCAGTCCACGCCTTTAGAGCCCCTCATTTCAATGACGTTTCCCCCACTCTTCGCTTTCTCAAAGTTGATTAATAGATGCTGCACAGCAAATAATTTGCCAGCCCGCCCAATGGGGCTATGAAAATGCACTCTTGTTGTTTAAAAATGACCCCCTGTAATTTTAGTAACTCCTAATTTTAATTGCTTCCAGCTATTCAGCATTTCTGGAATTTGCTGCCCTGAGACATTGTGTAATGTAGGCTTATAGGCCCAAAGACTGTACCTAAATCTCCAGCAACTTAAGGTGGCAACTATCGTGCACACAACTTCTCCTTTTAGTCATCACTGTGGCGTCATGCCGACTGTTTTGGAAGTACCTTTCGGAAGGGAAACCCTTTCAGAGCCCGTAGTGCCACAATGCAAGCTTGTGCTTTTCCTGCGCATTGTGTGATGTCAGCATTCAACAGGAGGCGTCACTACCAGATGCCTGGATAAACTCTCTCTGAATGGCATCCAGTAAAGCCCTTTAACTAAGTACATTCCACGCATACCCAGGATAATTTCAAAACTCCAAGTATGAATGCGCAGAAATTGCAGAAGTTCTACCAAGGTTAGTCAGCTTATGCCAAGTTATTTCCAAAACTGACAATAACTGGATCCCATTAGTAAAAGTCCATCGCCCGTACTCAATGCTCATCCACGAAACCAAAACATTTACGGTGGTAATTGTAATGCTTTAGTTATTTTTATGCTCCCCGTCCACCATTGTACGCCCTTCGGACGGCATGACCTTCGGGCCACAACAGTGACCTCTCCAGCCCTCCTCATCATTGACAATGCGTATTCTGCCCAAGTATTGCGTCATCTTCTGTCCCCGCGGGAGTTAAGAGGCTTTACTCAATTACGCTCAAAACCCAGCAAAATAAATTTATTTGCAAATAATTTAAGGACCTGGTTGTATTTTATCAAAATGTTAAAGCTTAATTTGCCTCTCTTTACTAATCAAATTTATATCAAGCTGTTTACAGAGTCCAAGCACATATTTTCCTAATTGTTCATAAGTAATAAATTTTTTTCCAGCAATATGATCTTCAAGTGATTTTGGATTGGCTACATCTGCAAATTGATCAACACTCACTAAACTAAAGAAGGCTTCTTTTGGTTGCATTCAGTTAAATTAAGGTTATAAAGGGTGAAGTAGTTAAATAATCGGAAAAACTTTTCCATAGATTTCGTAAAGCTGTCCTGGAATGGGCATAACTGGGCAAAAAATAAGAGCCACTTGGCCCATTCGCGTGTTCGCATTCTCAAGGCCACGACAGCAGCACCCACTAACGGATGGTCACAGGCTCTTCTAGCAGCGAAAGCTATGTCCTCTAAATAAAAAAAAGGGCCGACATGTGCCTAAAAGCAGTAAATGAGAGCAAAAATAATCATCCTGGGCTTTTATTCGCACTACAACGCTTTATCTAAACAAGAAAGAAACCCACCCGCGTGACAGTTCGTTATAATTTAAAAACAGAAAATAAGCTCTCCTCCTTTTTGAACCGCTATAGTATAAGTTAAAAAATGGTTTAAAAAGTGGAGACTTCGGCAAACTCTTGAGAATATCCCTCTTTGCTATCTTCGCGTATGTTTCAAGGGTTTTTAGAACTGAAAAATTGCGGATAACTCTATGTTAATTTAAACACCAGTAGTTATAACTCTTTAAAATATGGTCTACTAAAGACCCTAACCCATAATCCATGTTTACAATTAATTTCCTCTACGTCAGATTTTGCGGTTACTGTACTTTGGAGTTATACATGGTTTTTTTCCCATATCATCCGAAAATCCGCACATACCGTTTAGAACTCACTCTAAATGATGGCGTCGAATCACCTTGAAAAATGTACTTTGTACTCTTAGGTATTCCGTTTCAACAGCCCATTTGCGTGTCTTTCTTTATTGTTTTAAAGCCCAATACACGGATCCAATAATCGAGAATACATTAAAAATTTTTTTCCCCCACACATGCATTAGTGATTTCTACTGCTTTATTTGTCTTTTTGACCTGGACAACACTTTGGCGATGAATTTTGTGACTGAACTTTCAATACAAAATGATCAATTCACCTTGATGGCTCTTGACGCCTTTTGCCTTGGAAGTGCCTTAGCACACTGTGCCTAGAATTGCATTTTGGAGTGTCAGTTTATGGAGGAGTTTACGCCTGCTTGATCTTTGTCATGGAGCCACAAAACAATAATGCATACAACTTCAAAGATATAAACGAAGTGTTTGACCTAAGTTGATGCGGCAAAGACGTTTTTCCAGTGATTTCAATCTCGAGAATGAATAAGCCAGCCACGTGAGTTAAGTTTGAAGGTCGCGGTATAAGTTCCCATTTCCTCCACAGTCTACAATTATCATTTCAACCATTTTTCAACACCCGAAACGTACTTGCAAGCCTAAGAAATTTGATATGTGACGGCTTGGTCTCGTTCCCACCACCCTATCGGCCAATGGCCCTAAGTACTGCGTCTTTGAAGAGAAGAGAGAACTCCAGCCCTTTAAAGGGAATGTATACTCTCAATGATCAGCGATTGTCTGTGCAAGCCATTGCGCACATTTCAGGATATCAAGATCGACATAATAGCCTGACTCTGGATGCCAGAGACGGCTGTCAGGTCCAGGATGACGATCTTTGCGGTTGAGATGGAATCACATTTACTTTATACAGCTTGTGTTATACAGGAATGCGTGATCAAAAGTCTTATGATGGTCTCGGTGAGGTCACGTCAATCCTTATATCAATGGATTCGAAAGTTAATTCTCTAAAACCTCTTTAACAGCCCCTTGTGGGGCTTTCGAAGGGTAGCAAAGATAAGACGAAAAGGAAGGGAATTTTAATGCGTTTGCTACCACAATATCATGGGAAAATAAAATCACTACAACACAGACATTTTATTGTTCTACAGAGATCACAACTACCATTAAACTCTATGAATTGGGTTTATAGCACCCTAAATGGGTAAAATAAGCTACATATGGCAAACCTATTTTGGAGTTCCTACGTTAGAACTATGTCTCATTTAATAAAAGGGGATAATTGAGAACAGAGAGAAAAAAACAACAAGTAAACATTTTCCAAAATGAAACACAAGCTGTTTAAAGGCTACTTCTTTATTTGCTTAACGAGTTCCACTCAAGAAATGCAAATTAAAATTATCCTTAGATTAAGGTTACAATACGATTTGATGCTTCAGATATCCATGGCTAAAAAATGAACACCAAAGGTACCGATTTCCACAAGACAGTAATCTCACGTATTATTCAACAGCGTTTCGGACATCCCAACCTCCGGTTACCATTACTTCTACTTCCAAAATGTTTAATATGGTGATTAAAGCCCTTAATTTTGTCTTCTGTCGAACAATTGTTAGCGAAAATGTAGAAAAGTTGAAAACATGGGCCACTCCGAATAATGGATGCTGTCAGGCAACTGCAGTGTAGGGACGCAGGCGATGCCAAAAATTCACCCACCAAAGTATTTGGCCACTGAGGTCGTGACTAATGGTGGAAGGGCCACATCACGTAGATGTGTGATGGTGTTTGCCGCTTCTTT